CTGTATGGCTATCTTACAATGAATAATCGATTACTGTGTGTCAGTATGTATGTACAGCACTTTAGCTGTAAGTGCAAAAAATAACTAAATGGATAAAAGTGTATTGAGTGTATTATGGATGCACTTACGCTCAGCGATGACCAGCGGTGGGTAGAACAGAAAGTACCCCACCAGCTCAGCAGTGAGCTGGTTAAGAAGACTGCTGGAAATTGTCCCGTTAAGTATTGAATCCTGATTTTTCACCACATACACCAGAGTGACTGAGGGGGAGTCAGGCTCCTGGGAGACACTCTGGATCTGAGGATAAACACACAAGCACAAAATACATTTTATTTTTATTTGAATCCGCCTGTCAAATATGGTACACTATGTGCCCCATAGTCATTCTAATATTTGTCATATTAGAATGACTTCAATACTTTATAGCGGGCACACAAACAGCCAGCTACGGCTGCATGTATAATTCAAATATTTCTGCTGAAATATCTAAGCGTATCATGCCAAATGTCAAAAATCCACATAAAGAATGCATACCAGAGCTTCAGACACAGTATTACACTTTGAGTGAGCACAATATAATAAGACCTAGGTGGTGCTGTGAACCTTATGTGAATGAGTCACCGTAAACGAGTGGATGGCAATACAAGGTACGAGGGATTCCCATCACATTCCTCCATGAGTGTTAATATTTCAGAGGATAAATTATGAATGGAGCCTATATATCTGTCTCTTCATGCTGAGACCTACTTCTGATTGTGATGGTGTGTGCATGTGCAGTATATCCTGCATTCATGAGGGTACATTGACAGATGGAGAGAAAGAGACAGGAAATAAGAAAGAGGAAAGAAGAGCTTCAAAAAATAAAAATAAAACAGCATTGCACACAAATGAGCTTTGATTGTGCCTCCAGTTGTTTAACAAAACAGCTATTTTCTTCTTTATTTTTTTAAATTGCTGCAAAACTGTCTGACCTTTTATACCAGGCAATTACCACAGAAAACACAAGAAACACACGCCTGAAATAAGGTATTCTGACTAGTTATAGAGTGGATACAATCAAGAAAGCTTGTTTTCTGGTAAGTGACGAGAATTTGACTTTATTATTCATGTAAACCTTCTCAGCATGCAGCATGCAAATACTGCTTATTTGTCCGTCTGTTTTTTCTAATAAAAAACGCCCCACACAGCACCTCAACAGTGAGTGTGTTGTAGGTCTCCAACACTTTGTCCTGAGCTTCATCAAAGGCGTTCTCCAGCCTCTGCTCCAACATCTGAACAAAACTGCAGGAGTAGATGTTGTCTGTCGGGCCAACAAACCTCAACACTGGAAAACAAACCATAAAAAACAACAACATTATTTATAGACTGCAGTTTTAAAAACCTACAAAGTTTGACAATGTTCCCTTTTTTTTTTTTCGTGAACCGGTGGTAAGATGCTTTAAAATTTTTCACTTTATGGGCAGTTAGCTCAGCAGGATGAGACAGAGAAATGGCTCGGGAGCCTGGGAGCCTCTTCCAGTGCAGATAGCTTTTTTACTCCTCTATCAATCAAGTGTATTTCATTTTGCTCTCGTCATTAAAAGGATAAAATAAACCAATTATTGAACAAAAACTCTTTAGTTTGAAAGTCAGACACATTCATATTTATTATAACTGATTTATGGGTGGCAACCTTGTGTCCAGTGCCTCTAATGCCATACTCTGGTGATTTCTTTAGCAGAAACCTACGTATTCAGGTACCAGCTCCAAAATCTGGCTCTTCAGATAACAGACTTTCATTTAGAGTTTAATCTGTTGTCATGGCAATGTTGTAGCTACAAATTGAATTACTGCACCACAAGAATCATGGAAAGAGAAATAATTTAAAAACTCTTCAGCAATCCACTTCATCACGCTGCATCTAGAATCTGTATCTGGGGCTGTGGTTTAGGCATTAGTGCCCTATATAAATGTCGGTGTGATCAATAAACCTAAGCAGTGAGACACAGAAAGAGGATTATCGTCACTATCTAGAATTAGAACAACTGAAAATAGTATTTCTATGTTAGCGTCACACAGTCCTGCACCGAGGAGGCACAGGGTAAGCAATATTGAGTCTATCAGATTACAGCAGATGTTATTAATGTTGTCGCCCTCTGTTCTCGCCTTGCACTCTTGTCTTTCTTTGCTGTTTTAAAAAAAAATAAAGCTCTGTAGCGACTGGGATAGGAGAGGTGGAAAAATATTCTGACCTAAATTCAAATGCTGTGATGCTTATGAGTGCGGGCTACATCTCTCAAAAAAAGAAAAAAAACACTACATCATTCACTGGTGTCTTAGCCTGCAACACTGTGCAGGCGCAAACACTGCTGACCCAGTTGGTAATCTTATGTAAATGGATCTGTGGCTGCTAAATTGGCATATACTATACATTTATGGATTAAAGCTGTACAACACAGAAATGGCTTTTAATTTCTGCTTCAAGTGCCTACTCCACATCCAGGAGTAGATACAACAAACACAGCAAACATCACTACAAGTGCTAAAGTGTGGGAATTGGCAGAGAGCTGTAGTTGTTTTTACAGAAAACGTGAAAGCCAAAAAATAGATGTTCTCAGTCGCTTAAAGCCACTATGTAGGGTTCATGAACATACACTAAATACACTAAATAGTCATAAAGGTTTTCATAAAGACACTCATCATTGCATATAAAAGAAATCATATCTTAAATGAATAATTCTTACAAAGCTGGCCAGTTTGCCCATTTACAGTCATGAAATACAGAACAAGTAGCTTTAACTGAAACTGTGTGTCTGATGAGACTGCTGAGAAAATGTTTTACATCTAATTAGTTGCTAATGCAAAAGTGTACATTAGATAAACAGCAGTCAAAGTTGTAATTAACACTAAAAACATTTTTAAAGCAAAACCATATTGGGAGCTTGTTTCCAAAGATTTTTGCACATTTTTGCAAATAATTTTATTAATTAGAAAGGAACAAAAAGATGTCGCATACATACCAAAAAATGTATGCACAGATAAAAATGCACAGAGATTTGTATAAAATGTACAGAGATATGTATCACTGTACACAAAGCTTAGGAAAAAACTGCAATAACATGATTGGTATTTTTTAGTTTCTACGGCAGGGGGATGGATTAAACCACTATTTTACATGGAAAAATGCCTTCTCTGCCCATTAACAACTACCATCTTCAGCCCGTGAAACAATATTACCTCAGCGAAATGAAGAGAATTTCAGAGGTGATCATTATTCTTATCCTCCCCGTTATTAATATGTTTCTTTTTCATGAATGCAAGTTTAAGAAAAGGATTAATTATAGACAGTAAATTGTCTTTCCTTCTTTTCTTGGGAGAAATAAATCTCTCTCTTATTAGCTTCTCTTCATTAGTTCCATAAAACCGGAGCTGAATTTAAAATGCTTCTTGATGATCGGGCCCCATCATTTCTTAAAGACCTCATAATATCACGTCATCCCAATAGAGCACTTTGCTCTCTTACTTGTGATTCTTGGGGTTTCCAGTGGAACCAGCTCCCAGTTTGGATTCGGGAGACAGACACTCCTTCTGCTTATAAAATGAGGCTACAAAGCTTATAGTTAGGCTGGATTCAGTGACCCTGTACAGTTCCTTAATTATCCTCGGGTTGCTGGGATACTTTCCACGATGCACTGAGAGTTCTTCTTCACCACTTTTGCCATATGCTTGCTAATAAGAAATCATCTGACTGTGGAGGGTCTTAACTTTACAACATAAAGTGGCTAAAGGTGCCTGCTGTTATGCAGTGCTGCTATATAAATACAACTGAACTGAAATTAATAATATAATTAGTGATACCAATACAAAAGTACCAAATTCTACAGATTTAAAAAGTACAATACTTATTTTTTAAGGAAATCTAATCTGTGCATGTATATTTTAACTAACAATTCAATAATTGCATTCATTGTCCTACTTTTGCTCCCATGAGGTTTCGATGTGTGTCTGGGTGGGCATGCTGAAATGTGTTTTTTTAAGAGGCTTACCAGGCTGTCTAAATGAATGGAGCAATTTGCCTTTGCTCTGCAGTCGTGGAAGTTTGTATGGGATTTAGGGTATCAGAGAAGAGTAAAGGAGAGCAGACATGTAATCAAAATTTTCTAATTTTGACTCAGCTCTACTCTTCCTCTGTGTCCTCCTCCCTGCGTTCTCTCTCCCTCCCTTTCTCTACACATCTTTAACTTCTGCTATCCTCTCATACTCCACCTCCATCGCCAGATCCTAATCAAGCTGGTGCTGTGAGAGCCGCTTGAGTAAAACTGCTCCATCATATCTCATTTTTTTGTTTGCTTTCATCACCTGTTTTCAGCTGCAGGTGAATATTTGGAGCAGGCACCCAGGTTGCCACGGGAACCAGAACAGCCTTAACCAATGGCGTGTGCTGCCTGATGTCCGACAGCAGCTTGTCAAAACCGTAAACATTCAGGGCTCTGACAACCATGGCAGAAATGTAGACAGTTTTCCCGTTGGTCACGTAGTATCCCAGCGTCACGTTGTGGGGGCTGCAGTCATCGTGTTCCACCTGTGACAGGGATGCAGAGGAGAACAATACAGGTTGGAGTTTGTTTTTTAAACTACATTTATATCTGTATTTCAAGGCAGACTGTCTTTAAAGCATTGTTTACCTAGTGGATTTGTGTCCTCATTTTAAAGCACACACACTGCAAAGAACTGCAGAAACCATATCAGAGCAGAAATCAACTCTACCAGGTGACACAAGCTTAGAAAACTACACTGTACACCAAGCATCTTTGTCTGATCCATGTTGTTCTCAAGCGATGGGCTTCAAATATAAATGTATCAGACTATGAATACTTATAATCCTGGCATTTTTTTTAAGTCAAATCTGACTCAAGGGAATTTTATAGCTTGAGCCCTCACCAGTCATGAATCTGACGAACCGTGTCCCGGAAAAACACACACAGACAACAATCGGCGGTGAGTCAAGGCTTGTATTTCTGGAACTATACACCGCCCACTTTCCTCTACCTTTAACCACACTGAGCTGCTGTAGCTTGTGTTACTATGGCGTCTTCCTCTTTCTTCATCCTTCTTTTTCCTCTCCTCTTTTCCCTGGCTTCCCCGGCTAGTCCATTTCTCGAAAATAACACATCCTTCTTAGTGAAACTGTATCTCATTAACCTTCTCTCCTACTCTTATCCCCTCTACTTTCCATGCAAACAGAAACGAAAGAAAGTTCACACAGTTTTTCAAACTATAGCTACCTGCCATCTTTGTTTAAGCCCTTTTCTGTTTTAAGTTCTCGTCAAAGCTTTAGCCCCAGTTTCTTCTTTAGTTTTTAATTATACTCAGCGACACATTACTTTATTCCAGCACCCTACCTTTGGGTTTTGCATATCATTAGAAAACAAAAAAGAGCTTTTGAAGCTCTCATTTTAAGGGCTAAAATGAAGAAGAGTGGGAAAGTCAAAGTATTTCTTGCAGATATTATGTGCGGTTGCAGGAACAGACTGGTTGTCCTCATGTCCTCCCGTGTTACGGCTGGTTTCCTGGCTACAAGGAAAACAAGTGAAAGTCAACTCGATCCTGTGACGCAATCTTCTAACCATAAGCACTCTGTAACTGTCAGCTTGTTAGCTTGTATTCTTTGTTTTGCCCACCTATTTACTAAAGAAGCACACAAACTATTAATGACTCATTTATGGAGATTCCAGTACAGTAGCTGAAAAAGCAATTATGTTAAAAGACATGGTTCAATGACACAACATATTAAATGTAACCTGCAAGTTAATTTCATGCTGTTTGACAATCCCTGCCCACGCTGAAGCAATGTTTCGCCTGCGTATCACTGCTTTTAAAGATCTGTTTCCTTCCTCTTGTTGTTGCTATTGTCAAAGGACTGATCCTGACTGCCAAATAATAGCTTACGTTATCTGATGGATAGGATGAAAACTCAGGAGATTGAGGTTGTGTGTATGTGTTGCAGGAGGGTTAGATGAAAGTGGACTGCAGCTTTGAGATACTGAGTCACTCCAGCGTGAGCTCACAAACAACTGGATAAAAATAGAAAGAAAAAAAAAAGATGAAGACAGACAGACAGCAAGATGAAGGGAGGCAGGTGGACAGACAGAGCCGGGCAGGCCCAACAGGCGTACAAACAGACAAGTGAGACAGACAGGTTGGCAGAAAATCAATCGACTTAAACCCAGGGAACAATCAGATTGGAGGGAGACGGAGAAAGGGAGCAATATGAGAAATGTAAACACTGAGAAATATGCAAAGGAAACAAAAGTCAGAACAGAGACATGATACAGAAAAAAAAACAGCAGAATGGGAAAATTATGTGAATGAAAAAAACGTAATAGCTCATTCTTAATTTGTTTTACATTGTAGCGCATGTGAGAGCGAGAGACAGTACAAGGGTGCGTAATAACCTCTGAGTAAACTGCCTCGATATTCAGCAGGTCATAACAATTCAGACTCAACCACAGTCTGCATTAGTCACCTCTCTAGCACCCTTCATGTGAATCCTTATGAAGTGAATGAGGAGGAGCATGCGATGAAAAGTATTGTAAACTGATGACACACTCACATATAGAATATCTGAGCACACATGAAGAGCAAAAATCATGGCAAAACAGAAACACAACAAAAAGATTTGACTGCAGCATTGCAGCGTGGTCCTTTTAAATATAATTTATAGATCTACAAAATTTCTTCTGCAGTATTAAATGCACTAGAAGATTAATAATGTGTATGCAAAAAACTTGTATTAGCCTTAATAGCCATTTTATTTGCTTCTGACATATGTCTTCTAGCCACTTATCCATTGCTGCTGTGGTCTGATCTTTCTGATCTAATTAGCAATAATTAATTATTGTGAATTGCTCGAAATACAAATTATTAGTTGAGCATACTAGTGTTAGCTGCTAGCTTAGCACCCTCTGATCACTACTGGCTCCAAAAAAAGATGTTTGATGCTTCAAAATGTCCAGAAAACAACGCTAGATATGTCCATCTTTTATGTACAGTGTTTGGTAGTTATGGGCTGGTCAGCTGTGTTAGTATGAGGGGGCGGAGCTCTGAGCACAGATTCGTCATAGAGAGACATGATGTCATTGGAGCTTCCGTAGTTTGCCACACCACGACGATTCCCACAGTGAAACCCTTTACTTTGCTATCAGAGAACCAGGGATTACAGGAAGTAACCCAACATCATTGTTTTTATGATTTTTATTATGTTTTTGATCTTTACCAGTAATAATTTAACAAATGCGTTGCCATTATTGACCTTTTCTTTTAGACCCTTATTACACAAACAGATGTCTGTGGTTACAGTAATGGCAAAAAGGAAAAAAAGCGCAGCCTCTTCGGTCACCTTGAATGAAGCTGAACTAAACTTCAAGGGAGTTTGAGCTTTTAGGAGGGGGCTGAAAGCACACAGTTGGTTCTTTTCAGAGTCCCTTTAGGAAACAGCACGGCAGATCGTCCCCTTCCATCTCACCTTATCCTTCACTACATCCATTAATTTTGTCTGTGCTCTTTCTCTTCTCGTGTCTGGCAGGACACCCTTTCAACATCCTTTGCCCAGAATATCCACTTTCTCTCCTCTGCACACCTCCAAACGATCTCATCTCCAGTTTGAACTCCTGTCTTTTCGTTCATGCCACAGTCTCCGAAGCATACATCATAGCATGTATCACCAGCATCTTGTCAAGCTTCTCCTTCACTCTTCTGCTATCTTTATCACTGCTGACACTCATCTTCATCGACTCCGCCCTGACTCCACTCTCTTCTTCACTTCATATATTCATTGTAACGTCCATCTTCCTCTCATTCACACACATGTATTCTGTCTTGCTTCTAATGACTTTCACTCCTCTTCCTCTGCCACCTGATTCCTACTTTCACTGCAGATCATAATGTCATCTGCAAACATTATAGAGCTCTCTGTCCTCCTCTATCAACCTGTCCATTACCACTGCAGACAAGAGGGGGCTTGGAACAGATCCCTGATGTAATCCCACCCCACCTTGAACCAATTTCTCACTCCTTCCACATACCTCCCCACCGTGTTGCTACCCTCAGACATGTCATACATGAAAAACCAGTGAGCGGAGCTTATAGAAAAAGAAGAAGACGATGATGAAGAAACACTGACCTGTGCATAAACAGTGGAGTCATTCAGGGCTCTCTGCAAGGCATGACTCAGACCTTTGGAGAGGTGATGTTTCAGTATGAGGTCTAAGCGGTTCCTGCGCAGCTCAATAGATAACACTGTGAAGATGAAAAAATGTAATTAGTTCTCAATCACCGTGCACTATGTCTTCATATGTGCACATTTACATAATTTTTATGCTTTAATAAATCTATCAGCACTGCTTCTGCTGTAAACTTAAAGTATACTTACTTATATATCATGAACAAGCTCAAGTACTATTAAAAGCTTTAAAAAAAACCACAGCATCGCTGCTATGTGCAATCAAAGGCTCACTAATGTGTGATGTGTGGCTTTTTATATTTGTTAATGGGGAAAGGCTGTACTTACTTTTATCCAAGTTTTAATTAATTTGTGCACCTCTACTGACATGTTGGCCACATAATAGGCACTTTCTGCCTGACTCTCAAATGCGGCATTTTGTGTGCATTCATTATTACTTCATTATTTTTTCTGGAAGATAAGATGGTAAAGTCTGCCTGTACTTAACACTGAGTGTACTTTATGTAATTTAAAGGACATGCAGTACCTAGATTATTTTTATGAGAGCTCTCTGATGTCCTAGCCATTCATCTTACTAGCTTTACTTATTCTTCCTCATCTTTCACACAGTTTCTATAAATGTTAAGAAATTCATCATTATCTCATTATCGCTTACCGGTGATGTTTTGGTTTCTTACCTGTTCTAACCCAAAACTTTTCAGTAATGTTGCATGGCAGAGGACTTTCCTCTGCACTGGTACTAGATGGAGGAGGAGGTGGAGTAGTCTGGATGAACACAGTGGTAGCAGGCGCCTTTGTTGTTGTTGTGGTAGAAGTAGTAGTAGTGGGAGCTGTAGTAGTCGTGGTAGCCATGGTGGTAGTAGTAGTGGGCTCAGGGGTGGTAGTGGTAGTAGTTGTGGTGGTGGTGGTGCTGGTGGTAGTAGTCGGGGGAAGAGTAGTAGTAGAAGCAGTAGTCGGGGCAGGTGTGGTTGTTGTAGTGGTTGCAGGTTGAGTTGTTGTGGTAAGTCTGATGCTTGTTGTTTGCTGCGTAGTGGTTGCAGCACTGGTATTTGGCGATAACGTTGCATTGTTCCCAGTGGTTGCTGCCTGATTCATCATATCATCGGTGGTCACAGTAAGAGTGGTCGTTAAGGGTGTTGTTGTAGTTACTGTTGTCAGCTGAAGACTGTCATTGGTCACAGTGTCCTGGCTTGTGATGTGTGTAGCCATGCTGGATTCTGGTGGTGTTTGTGCTCTTGCAGTTGTGGGGAATGGTAAAGTTGAGCTGGTAGTGGGAGACAGAGGCATCTTTATGGTGGTGGTGGTTGTTGTGGTGGCCGGACGCCGTGAGGCGTTTCTGGTGCGCACAGGTGCGGTGGTGTTCCACTGGTGGGTGGAGAAAGGGCTGGTGACATTGGCAGGAAGTGTGACATCATGGTCACCCACTGTGGACAGGAGTGATTCGGGAACTGTAGGGAGATCCCAGGCCGGCAGGCTGCTCACTGAGTCCTCTGTAGGGCAGAAAACATGAAAATCAGTCATAATAAAGGATTTCCAGAGACTCTGAATATAAAAACTACTCAGCCTTTTTTCGGATTTAAATGGAGCACAGCATTAGTTCAGCTAGTTCATCTCAAACAGGGTACACAATTCAAGCTGCAACAATTACTACAGATCTGCAAGCCACTTTGTGACCCACCACTTCAGCACTTCCTTTCACGGTATTTCTAACTTAAATGAATGCTGTGTCTGACGTCAGTGATGCCTGCTTTGTTCTGTTTGGGGGTCTTGCTTTTTCCCACCCCCACTACAGTTTTCCCATGTGTGCACAGCAAAGGATGGAGAGGTCCATAAACAATGCCAGTGTGCTGCATACAGAAGTATCGCTCATCTGTTGATTATAGTGGTCCTGAATGAACCATACATCTTATATTAGGTCAAACATGAACTGCAGAAAGATAAGACACTTGAAAGTATTGGTGCTATTTTTGGTATTTTATATCATCTGCTGACCTACATACAGCGTATGCAATATACAACATAAGAGACTACAGGCTGATAGCAAACACTAATGCAGCTACACTTGTCTTTGACCTGAATCTGTAATATTTGACTCTTAAAAAGTGTAAACACAGTTTTAACCTACTCATACCACACCTATATGTATATATGCAAAGACCCCTGAGCAACCAAGTTTAGAGCAATGTCTCTTAAATCCTCATTAAAGCACTGCCATAGGGGTATTTAAACCTAAATAAAGTGATGCAAAGGAACCAGTTGCCTGATAATAGCAAACCAGCAAGAATCAGTTTTCACTTTTGTCATGAATGAAGAAGATGAGGAGGTTTTTGTCCAATTGAAAGCACTTAGATGGACTGCATGATAGTTTCAATTTTGAATGGGAAATAGAAATCCAATTATAAAATGTGAACCAGAGAGGCATTTTAATGAAAGGGGTTTGTTTAATCCATCTACATACTGATGCGAGACGCATATTGATGAGTGTAGAGGAAGCTAAAGTAAACAAGAGCCAGGCGATCAATGAACCTTCTCAGACCAAGCTGCGGATTCATTCTTATCAACACCTGACGACTTCAAATATTGTGCTTGTTATGTGACACAAAACTCTGAGCAACAGGATATTAGCTTTCTGCTCACTCGTTGATCAGAAGCTAAAATATATGTGAAGGATTTACCTTGCTGATGTCAGCGCTATAGATGATGATGGCATGACAGGAAGCAGGGGAGATACGAAGGTGATGAAATAGGACAGGACATGAAGGATGCTGATGATGATAAAGTTGCTGACAAAATAGTGAGGGCGATGATGGGATGATGAAGATGATGCGCCTAAGTGGCTGTGATGATAGCAATGCTGAAAATTACAATTTGATGAAAGTAGTTAAGAATGACGATTCATAAAAGATGACATCAAAGCCCATTTCGCTGTGTGAAAGTGTGCTGTAGGCTTAAAAAAAACAAAAGCTGAGCAAAATTAGCTGACTGTTTGCTATTCACTTATTATTGCCACAATAGGCCTCTGTGCAATGACGTAAGCAGAGTTAATGCATGCAATTATTCAATTAGGGGGAGCAATTAAATTCCACAGTCCCTGCAATCAGGTGATCACATTAAAGCAGTCTCTTTATGATTACTTTTCACGGGATGCCAAATACAATACTACATTGTTGTGCATGATCGTTCAGTGGCACATAATCCTCAGAGGAGTCTTGCTATTCAGAAAGGTGAGAAACTGCTGAGACAATTTGCAAGTCACACACACAGCTCCACACACGTTTAGCTCCAGTAGCTAAATGTTGGTGGGTGGTAGGGTTGCCAACCGTCCCTTAAAATACGGAATCGTCCCGTATTTCGAAACAAAAGTACACGTCCCGTATTGAGCTAAAAAGGGACGCACTTTGTCCCGTAATACAGTGAGAATCAAAAGTAGTCTATAAATGTTAATGGAATTAACGCTTTGTTTGAAAACATAATTCCCAGCCCCTCTCCT